GGGGAGGGCGCCGCGCGCGGGCCGGAGGCACGGACCGAGGCTCAGGCGCCCCCTCCTCTGCCCACCCCTGACCCAGCCCCGCTAGCACCCAAGGTGTCGCCGCCGCCGTCTGAGGGGGAGTGTCCGGTTTTCTCGCCGCTCTGAACTCGACCTCACTGGGGGAGGAGGGCCATGGGTAGTTTTGTAATGGTTGGGCAATAAAGGAACCGCCATGAGCCGCCGCGTGTCTAGGTCCCTTGCCCCTCTGGTTCCAGTAAGCCAGTCTAGCGCTCACAACCTTGGGAGGGAGCACTTCGAGGGTGTACTGTGTGCACAGGATCGCACAGCCCACTCGGTTCCCATCGCCTCAGTCACCTCAAGCCTGTGACCCAAGCCTACGGTCCAGTGCCATCTCAGCCAATGTAGGCAGGGAGGCCAGTGCCCCCTGTCCTGTCCCACCACTTCCAGAAACCAGACAGGATAGAAATTCCTAGTTTTAATGAAAAAGTCGCAGGAGACAGGCTGGGAGGCTGGTCCTGAGAAAGTGCCAGGTGGCCTAGCAGCCCCTAGATCCAGAGGCCAGTGCTGACTCAAAGAGGGAGAATCCTTTGCTGGTGATAGGTCAGTGCAGTCCTGGCAGGGCTGGGGGCTTCAGGCCTACCTTCTCGCTGTCCTCTTCCTCCCCTGCCGGCGTCTGCTTCTCCCCCTGCCCCGGCTCTGAGAAAGGGGTGGGGTCAGGGCCAGCCCTGGGAGCCTGGCCCTCTCCTCTGTTGCCCAGCCTTAGGGACCTTTTCTTCTTTGCGGGAGGCCAGACTGGGGTGCAGGGTACCCTGCCCTCCCCAGAACCCAGCTGGCCAAGCCTCCTGGTCAGGACAGCCCACATGCCATGTTCACAACCGCCTCTTGGGGGCTGGTTTCACCTCCTGGGTTTGCTCCCCTCACCCCTTTCTCTCCCTCGCTTGGCACCCATAGCACCCCTCCTTCCCCCTTTCTGAACGCCACTGGAAACAGCTTTTTTCTGCAAAAGACAAATCCAACTGTGCCCCTCTCCCGGGCACCACCCTTCAGTGGTGCCCCACACCCTCCAGATGAAGATTCTGCTCAGTGGCCCACAAGGCCCCATCTGGAACTTCCTCACACCCCTCCCGGGGCCACACTGACCGTCTCCCTCCTCATCCTCCTGAGTACATAGACAGCTGTGAGGGAGAACCTGGTGATGTCCTCAGCGCCTCCCATCCCACTCCTTACCTCCTCCTCCCCCAGGCCTTCCTCCTCCTCCTCCTCATCTTCCTCGTCGGAGTTGTCCTCCATCACCTCCTCATCCTCAGCATCTGCAGCCAGCAAGTCCCCAGTCACGCCTGGGCCAGGTCCCCAGCCCCCTCACCGCCCTCACACCTTATCCTTCTCCCCCACTCACCATCCTCCTTCTGTCTTCTTCCACCCCCAGCATTTCAGCCTCGGGCTCAGAGTCGGGGGGCCTTGCAGTCCCCAGTGTCATAGCCATCCAGGTAGACCAGCTGGGGCAGTAGCTCCAACACCTGCTCCTGATAGTTCAGCTGCAGCGTCACTTCCGCAGTTGATCAGGACCAGGCTCCACAGCCCCTTCAGCTTCTCCTACCAGGGACAGAATGGGGAGCCCGCACCCTTACGCCCCGCCCACCTGCCCCTGCCTCCCCAGGGGCTTCAGGGTTGCAACGTCTTTGATGTGGTTGCCGCTGAGGCTCAAGTGGGTCAAGCCGGGGGTCCGCTCTGCCAGCAACTCCAGGCCCCCGCCGAGGCGATTGTTGCTCAGCTCCAACTGTGGTACAGCAGGCCAGCGGGGGAGTTTGGGGGCTCCAAGGCCCCTTGACCTCCCAGCTGTGACCTAGGGGAAGACTCCACCTCCCTGAACCCCGCTTTCCTAGTCTTTGGAATAGGTGTCAATGATGCTCAGCCCTTGGGGTTCTTGTGAGGATTAAAAGAACCAGGGGAGGGAGGGAGCTGGGGAGACAAGTGCCAAGTGATTCTCATCCCTCAAGTCTGCTGTCCTCTCAGGAACCTGAGGGCAGGGCCAGGGGTTCTATTTTACAGATCTGAAATCTAAGGCTGGGAGGGCTAAGCTGACTTTCTTGGTCAGTGGGACTCAGATCCCGCACCACCTGGCCCAGTAATCACTGCCCTTCCACAGAAGTCAGCCCAGTCAGAGAGACCTGGGGGGCAGCGTTCTCTCCTTTGCCTGCACTCCCGAGATGCCCTCCCAAATATGGCTCTAGCCCCTAATTCTCCCTCACTTCCAGAGACAGGGTCTTCCAGACCCCCAGCCCCTCTCCAGGGTACCAGAGTCCCCTGGCCCATTGCGGTCAAGTTGATTCCAACTCATGGAGACCCTGTGTGTGATAGAGTAGAATTGTACTCCATAGAGTTTTTGTTGTTGTTGTTGTTGTAACCTTTATAGATGCAGATTGCCAGGCCTTTCTTCCATGGCACCAGTGGGTGGGTTTGAACTGCCAATCTTTAGTAGTTGAGAGCAAACCATTTGCGCCACCCAGCCCAGGGACCTGGTTCATAATGATGTTAGGTGCTGTATAGTCGATCCTGACTCATACTGACCCCATGTGATAGAGTAGAACTGCCGCATAGGATTTTCTCGGCTGTAATCTTTATGGAAGCAGATCACCAGGTCTTTTCTCCCCTGAGTAGCTGGCTAGTGGGTTTGACCCACTGACCTTTCAGTTAGCAGCCAAGTGCTTAGGCATTGTGTCACCAGGGCTCCTTTGGTGCATAATGTGTGCTGTCAAGTCGATTCCCACTCTATAGGACAGAGTAAAACTGCCCCATAGGGTTTTCTTGGCTGTAATCTTTACGGAAGTAGATAGCCAGCTCTTTTCTCCCATAGAGCGGTTGGTGGGTTTGAACCGCCAACCTTTCAGTTAGCAGCCGAGTGATTAACCATTTCACCACCAGTGCTTCTTTGGTATATAATAGGTGATCAAGAATTATTTGCTGTGTCTCACATACTTTGGACATGTTGTCAGGAGGGATCAGTCCCTGGAGAAGGACATGCTTGGTAAAGTAGACGGTCAGTGAAAAAGAGGAGACCCTCAGCGAGATGGATTGACGCAGTGGCTGCAACAATGGGCTCAAGTGTAATGACCATTGTGAGCATGGTGCAGGACCAGGCAGTGTTTCGTTCTGTTGTAAACAGGGTCGCTATGAGTCAGAACTGACTTGACAGCAGCTAACACTTAACAACACCCAACCCTTCAGAGTCCCCCAGCCTCCCCCAAATCCAGGCAACGCAACTTCCCAAACAATCTAGTGGTACCTTTCCAGAGACCCAGAGCCAACGCCTTGGTCCAGGACCCTCCCACCAGCCCATCACCCATGTAGAGGGAACTGCTTCCAGCTGGCCTCTGAAACAAGCTGGAACTTTGCCCAAGATCCCAGGAGCTGGACCAGGATCTGGCCTCCACCGACCACCGTGTTCTCGCCAAAAACTACCTCCTACCCTCCCTCACTCCTCCCCACACAAGGTCCACTTTTGCCTGGTCCTCTGGGAAGGCTTCCAACCCGGCTCCCTTTCCTCTAGCTAAGCCATGACTCACAGAGGTCCCCGCCCCCAACTCCAGGATACCCTGGAGGTGAGTCCTGTGAGGGCCCCGCTGGGGCCCAGCAAGGAACGCCCAGGAGTCTGTGTCCTTGGAGGGAATGAATGAGATGGGCTAGGGCATCCCGACCTCGGCAGGCGCCCACCTTTCACAGCTGGCCCAGCGGGGGCAGATTGGCCAGCGACTGCAGGTTCACGTTGGTCAGGCTGAGCCTCTCCAGGTGGCTTAAGTCCACTGTAAGGCCAGTCAGGTGCCCGTCCTTCGCCCGGCAGTTGGCCGGCACCAGCTCGGTCACCTGCGGGTGCCGGCTCGTTACCCTTACCCCGGGCTGGGCGCGGGGAGGTGGAGGCTCCTGGGCGCGCGTCCCCGGACCCTAGCCAGAGCACCCGCAGTCCCTGCCAGCCCCGATCCTGGGCTCCCGACTCTGCAGCCCCCTCCCGCCGCGTCCCGAGGATTGGCTGTCCACGTGCTCAGACTACCCCCGGCCTCAGCGCGTTCCGACCACGTGTGGCTGAGCCTGGCCCCCGGTTACCTGGGCGTCGCCACCCCCGACCCGGGCAGCCACGCACATGTCCCCGGGCTCCTGCGCAGGGACCGAGCGCCAGCTTCGGCTCTCTGCGTACTCCAGGCCCCTCCGTCTCTGAGAGCTTGAACCCCGCGCGTCTAAGTTCCCAGGCCCGGCCCCCTCCCCAGCCCACGGAGTTCCATGTCTGTGGCCTTGCGGACCCCGGCCCCAGCTCCACAGGGAAGGCGCCAAACACAAAAAGGTTGCGGGGTTTGGTGCGGGAAACGCGCCCCCTGGCGGCTGTGCTGGGACCGCGCGCCCGCCCCCTCTCCCCTCGGCCAGCCGCGCTTACCGCCCGTTGGTGCCCCTGCCGGCCGCGCGGGGAGTCACCAGCTGTCTTTTCGCTGACCTTGATTGAGCACCTTCTGTATGCTCTTGGCCAGTAATCATTTGTTCTTTCATTCGTGCATCCCCTCACTCACCAAACGCTCCGTGCAGTGCTCTTGCGACCAGCCTCTGCTGGCTGAGGCTGGAGACCCAGAGGACCCTGGCAGGACTGATTGGAGCGGGCCCACGCCTGGAAAGTGGCCTGGAGGCTCCAGAATCCCAAAGCTGCGCTCTTAACGCAGAAACAGAAACGACACAGAAACGAAGGGTCGTTCGCATTCCTTTCCGCAGGGCAAGGGATGAAGACAGAAGGCACCGTCCTCAAGACAGGCAGGCTTGCCTGTCCCCCCCTTCTCCTTCAAAGAAGCTCAGGGAAGCTCTTCCCGTTCGTTCCGACCTCACTGCTTGAAGTGTGGTGTGGTCTTCGGACCAGCAGGCCCGGCATCACCTGGCGGCCTGGAGAATGAGGCCCATCGTGGATCTGAGTCAGAATCTGCATCTTAGCCTGGCTTCTGGTGTATCTCCATGTAGCTGCACATTAGAGTCAGCCCTGCAGACTCTAAAACATCCTCGTACCCAGGCCCCAGGTGGCTGCGTGGTACAGTTAAATGCCCGACTGCTAGCCCAGAGGTTGGTGGTTCAAACCCACGCAGAGGTGCCATGGAAGACAGGCCTGGTGATGTGCTTCCAGAAGTTCACAGGCTTGAAAACCCTAGGGGACACAGTTCTACTCTGCACGCATGAAGTTGCTATGAGTCGAAATCGGCTCAACAGGAACTAACAACAAACCTAAAGGCTGCTGGTTTGAACCCACCCAAACAGTATTGTGGAAGAAGGTTCTGGCAATTTGCTTTCGTAAAGCTTACAGCCAAGAAAAGCCTTTGGAGCAGTCCTACTCTGCACACAGGGGAGCCCCAAGACTTGAGATGACTGGAAGGCAACTGACAACAGCCCCAGCCACACCCGGACCAATTAAGTCAGAATCCCCGCGGAGTTCTGTCTCCTCAACTCCTCAGGCGATTCCAGTGCACAGAGCTGCAGGCTTTCCCATGAGGTCACTGACCTCTAAGGACAGGCCCTGAGGTCAGTGCCCGCCCTTATCTGGCTGGGCTGGTCCCTCCCATTGCCTCCAGCCCCTCTCCACAACCTCTTGGTTCCTCCCCTCCACACCTGTCCTCAGCCCCCTCCCTTAGTGGGCAGGGCATTTGACCACATTCACTGCCACAACCAAATCTGCCACCCAGGCCAGGTCCTGTGCCAGCAGGCCAGCCCCAGCCCTCTGGCCTTGCAGTGTGACAGGGAGGTCTGGCTCTGAGCTGGCGGGGAAGTGTCGAAATGCGGAAGGTGAGTGAGGCAAGAGGGCAAGCAGTGGGCCTCAGCCAGCACACCCATGCTCTCTCCCAGCTTGTCAGGGCTCCCCAGATCTGACCACGCCCCTTTCCCACCCAGGATGCCCCATCAGGAGCTCCAGCCCTGGCTGGATTCCACTGCGGCCCTCCTCTCTGGAGGCAGAAGGCCCCCAGGGCCTTGCACCGAGTCCCCCCTGGGGAGAGGGACAGCAGACAGTCAAGAAGCTAGGACCTCTGTCAGGCACATTGGCTGTCCAGCACCTCAAGTTTGGGGACAGCAGCAGCAGGCGGGACAGGAACTCAAGGGGGACAGAGGTACCCCCAGGATCTAAGGACAGGCTGGGACAGTCCCCACCTCCTTTCCTTCCTCCTCTGCCCTCCCTCCCCCTGCGAGCAGCCCCCACCCTCCAGTGCTGGCCAGAGCAGAAGCCACAGTCATTTCCTGAAGGCAGCAGCCCAGTGCTGGTCCCACGCGCCCTGCAGCCCGTCACCCACCTGCAGCCATGGTAAGTCCCCAACCCCGGGAGAGCCCCGCACCTGCGGGAGTGAAGGGAGAGCGACTGGGAGTAGTGGGCACATTCCAGGACTGAAGAGCATGGGGTGGGGCTGGGACCCGGAAAGGGCCCTGAGATAGGAAGCAGCTGGGCATACCTCCAGGACAGCTCAGGCTCCGAGGGCGGCCCAGGCTGGGCTGTGACTGCAAAGGGGACAGCTGGGACTGCCCAAGACTGCTCCCTGCCCCCCAGCTCCGCATGAGCCGCAACGTGGTCATAGGAGGCCGGGGTGAGAGGAGGGGCTTCCTGTGGGGTGACAAAGTGGGTCACACATCATTACCTCCCTTCCCCATATCCCTGTCACTCAAATCATGATCTTCTGACCCTGACTTATCAAGGCCCTGTGGTCACTCGGGAACCCTGGACTCAGCCCACCCAGCCAGGTGCTTGACCAGAGGCAGCTCAGGCCCCAGGCAGGGGTCCTCACCTTTCCAAGGGGTGGTCCTGACCCCCTGGCTCTCGGGATGGGGAGAGTGAGGCGAAGGCCTGGCCAGACCTTCCCCCCCGCCTCGTTTCCACCCCCTCCCCTAACCTTACTGACCCCCAGAAAGCCAGGTTCGGGGTTCTGATGCAGGGCCATCTCGCGGGAATTTATAGGTCAGAGAGGGCCTGCCCTAGTTGGGTGCCTGCCTGTGCCTGTCGCCAGCAGCCCTCCGCAGCCGTGCGGGGCCGTGCTGCGCCAGGGAGGGTGCCCGGGGCGAACTGGGTTTGCCGCAGCTCAGGCACACGCCCGATTGCTGCCCGGTGTCTGTGACATGTGAGAGCCGTGTGCCTGTGCTTGCCCCAAGTCTGTGTGTCCGTCTGCACGTGTCCACGTGCGTCTATGACGGACAGACTGTACATGGCTGAGAAGATGTCTTTGTGCCTCTCTAGTTTTTAACGTAACAAACATTTACTGAGCACCTACTTCGTGACAGATACTGGGAAGACAACAGCCTTGCGGGCCACTTACATTCTACCAGGGGTGGAGGGTGGGGGTAGAGACAAAAAACAATCAAAACAAAACAAAAAACTGTCCGGATACCTCAAAAAATGTGTGTGTGTGCGTGCCTGTGTGTGTATGCCTGATACGCGGTGGCGGGTGCTAAGGGGAAAATCACGCAGGTGGTACTGAAAAAGAAGTCAGTGGCCGTCAGGTCAACTCTGACTCACAGCGACCCCGTGTGCGTCAGAGTAGAACTGTGCCCCACAGGGCATTCAATGGCTGATCTTCCGGAAAGAGATCAACAGGCCTTTCTTCTGAGGTGCCTCGGAGTGGATTTGAACCGCCAATCTTTCGGTTGGTAGCTGAGAGTTTACCCGTTTGCACCATCCAGGGAACCCCTAGTACTAGGGAGGGGAAGTGCTCAGGGAAATAAATAAGCAAATACAGAGGAGGAAGAGGAGAGAACCCCGTGGTGAAGAGCGTCCCAGGAGAGTGGAAGGGCAAGCTTGAAGGCCCCGAGATGGGAGTTCAAGGAGCAACCAGGGGAGTGGAAGGAGGCAGTGGGGAAGGAGGAGGCCTCGGGGCTGGACGAGGTGCTTCGAGGGCACTTAGGACAGAGCCAGGGCCTTGATGAGGTCTCTGGCGTTTAGCAGGGACATGAGGAACCCCAGCAGGATTGAAGCAGAGGGAGCCGAGGCCTAGTGCCCTGTGGCTGCTGGCGGGGGCAGGGAGGGGAACTGACCGAGGTGGTGAGGGAAGGGCGGGGGCCTGGAGGAGCCTATTACAAAAATCCGGAATGGAGGCAGGGTCCTTGGACCTGGTGACAGCGGTGGAGGTGGTAAGAAGTGGTTGGATTCCAGATGCATTTGGAAGTTGAAACCGAAGGGACTGGGGAAACGAGGTGTGAGAGGAGGAGGGAGTCAGGGATACTGGGAAGACCCATCACCGAGCGAGGACCGTGGGGGCAGCAGGCTGGGGAGACCAGGCAACCAGGTGCTCAGGTCCTGCTGGTGAGGGGGGCGGGGTGAGGGAGAGCATAGTTACAGGAGCCTGGGGCTCAGGGAGAAGTCCCTGGGTGTTGCAAATGGTTAAGCAGCTGCTAGCTGAAAGGTTGGCAGTTCGAACCCACCCAAGGTGCCTCAGAAGAAAGGCCTGGCAATCTGCTCCCAAAAGGTCACCCTTGAAAACCCTATGGAGCAGGTTGTACTCTGTGCACATGGGGTTGCCATGAGTTGGAATGACTTGACGGCAACTGGTTGGGTTTCAGCTGGTTTGGGACTCGGGGAGGCTGAAAAAAAAAAAATGTGGGGCATCCTTGAAAGAGAAGAGGCCTGAGGGCTGAGGCCAGGGAAGAGGAGCCTGGGGGTGGTGATGGTGGTGGGTGTCTGTGACAATGTCTATGTGTGTCCCCACAACCATGTATCAGAGTCCCTGCCTGACTTGCTCCGTGTCCCATAGGAGGAACATCAGGACTTCTGGAGCCTCCAAGCAAAGTTCCAGGCCTCTCAGCCCGAGCCAAGTGAATTCCCCAAGAAACCCCCAAAGCTTGAGTTCAACAAACTGCCAAAGAAATTTCCACAGCCTGAGTCAGGCGAGCACCCCAAGAAGCCCTCACAGCCCGAGTTCAGTGCAGGCCCTAAGAAAGCCTCGCAGCCCGAGTTCAGTGCAGGCCCTAAGAAGGCCTCGCAGCCCGAGTTCAGTGCAGGCCCTAAGAAGGCCTCGCAGCCCGAGTTCAGTGCAGGCCCTAAGAAGGCCTCGCAGCCCGAGTTCAGTGCAGGCCCTAAGAAGGCCTCGCAGCCCGAGTTCAGTGCAGGCCCTAAGAAGGCCTCGCAGCCCGAGTTCAGTGCAGGCCCTAAGAAGGCCTCGCAGCCCGAGTTCAGTGCAGGCCCTAAGAAGTTCCCACCGCTTGAGGCCTGTCCATTTCCGAAGAAGCACGAGTTCAGTGCAGGCCCTAAGAAGGCCTCACAGCCCGAGTTCAACGCAGGCCCTAAGAAGGCCTCGCAGCCCGAGTTCAGTGCAGGCCCTAAGAAGTTCCCACCGCTCGAGGCCTGTCCATTTCCCAAGAAGCCCGAGTTCAGCGAGGCCCCTCAGAAGCCCCTGCAGCCGGAGCCCAGCAACCCCACCAGGCTACCCTCGGAACCCAAGTTCAGTGCACTTCCCAGGAAGCCCTGGCCGCCCGAATCCAGCGAGGCCACCCTGAAGCCCCCACAGCTTGAGGTTGGGACCTTTTCCAAGAAGCCCCCACAGCCTGAGTCCGGGGTGCACCCCTGGAAGCCCCTGCTGCAGCCTGAGTTGAGTGAGGCCCCGCAGACACCGCCTTTGAGGCCGGAGCCCAGTGAGCCGCACCCCCATCCCTCAAAGCCCGAGTTAGGTGCATTTCCCAAAAAGGGCCTACAGCCTCAGCTCGGCAACTGCCCCAGGAAGTCCCCAGAGCCCAAGTTCAGTGATCTTACGAGGACCGCCTCGGATCCCAAGTTCGGTGTGTTTCCCAAGAAGCCGCAGCAGCCTGAACGCCAGGCACTGCTCAAGAAGACCCCACAGGCCGAGCTGGGCACCCTGCCCAGGACGTCCTCAGAGCCTGAGGTCAACTTGCTGCCCAGCAAGTTCTTACAGCCCGAAGGCCACAGGCCTTCCCACAGTTTCTCACAGCACGATGCTGGTAGCCTGCCTCGGAAGCACCCACAGGCCAGGTTCTTCGGTGACTTCCCTCAGAGGCCCCCGCTCCCCAACTCAGTCTCGGAGAGCTCGCTGCCCACCGCCACGGGGGGCCTCAGCCCCAGGTTCCCACTCAGCCCTGGGTTTGGGGCCCGCCTAGCAGGGCAGCTGCGGCCAGGGGCCCTCCTCGCTCACAGTGGAGGCGTGAGGCTGGGCCTCGGACCCGGCCACCCACCCCGGCGCAGGCCTCTGCCCCCTGTCAGCAGCCTGGGACCCCCTCCCATCAAGCCCCCACTGCCCCCAGGCCCCCCAGACATGCAGAGCTTTCAGAGACCCTCGATGGAAGCAGCCACAGGTGGGTCATGGCATCTGGGCAGGAGGAGTGCTGAGGCTGAGGGCGGGCGGGCAGGCGGGCAGACCTCCCTCCGCTCTCTCCTCTCCACAGCCCTGTGGAGGAGTCACTCCGCCACTGTGATCAACTTCCAGGCCCAACAGCCCAAAGCAATCCCGCAGTGAGTGTGGGGACCGGGGGCAGGCGCAGGTGGTGGGTGGAAGCGGCCCTCAGCTCAGGTGTCCCTGCAGGGAGCCGGACCAGATCTACGAGGTCTCCGACACCTACGACAACGCGGGGCTAGAAGACTCCAGCCCCAGCCCCAGGAGCAGAGGTTCGTGCGGGCCTGGGGGGCTCCTCCCTCTGCCCTCGGCCAGACCCAGGCTGCCCAGCACCTTGGAAACCTCGGCTGCGAGGGCGTCTTCTGCCCTGCTCCTGGTGTATGGTCCAACAACAACCCATATCCTGACGGAAATAGCGAGAAAGCAGCAGGGGGCCTCTTAGAAAGGTCTGGAAGGCGAGCCCAGAAGGCAACAGCCAAGAGAGGCTGTGGCAGTAGGGTGTGACCCAGGGCATTGGCTTGGGGAGCAGTAGAAGCATCCAGAAGTAGGAAGCAGGCAGGGCTTGGCGGTGGGCCCAAGGTTTGAGCCTCACACCTAGGGGCACAGTGGAGCTCTCCCCAAGTTGGGAACCCAGGAGAGCTAGAGGTTTGGAGAAGAAAGATGGCAGGTTCCACTTTAGACCTGGTGTGTCCGAGGCGCCTGAGGGGTGGCCAGGCAGGACCTTGACCTGAAACTCAGGCGGCCTGGCTGGAGACACGGATGTGGCTGTGACAGGAGAGGGGCTGCTCTGTCCTGCCCTTGTCTGCGGTCCCAGGCCCCAAGGCACCGGGATGCTCCCCGGCTCCCGGCTCCTGGCCCAGGCCCTGGGCAGCTCCCTCCTTCCTGGGACGCAGTCTGCTCTGGGCTCTGAAGGACCCTTCTATCTCTGCTCCCGGCGAGCCAGACAATGGTCGATGCTCCCAGCCCGTCTCTGCTGGTTCACGCCTTCACCAGCCTGGCAAGATAACAGATGGCTTCCATGAGAGCACATTCCCAAGGCAATTCGTCATTGTTGTTAGATGAAGGCGCCCTGGTGATGCAGTGGTTAAGCATTTGGCTACTAACTGAAAGGTTGGTGGTTTGAACCCAGCAGCTGCTCTGCAGGAGAAAGACCTGGCAGTCTGCTTCCATAAATATCAGTCTAGGAAACACTATGGGGCAGTTCTGCAGTTCTACTGTAATACAGGGTCACTATGTCAGGATCAACTCAAGGGCAACAGGTTTTTATGGGTTGTTAGGTGTCAACAAGTCAATTCCGACTCATAGCGAACCCATGTGACAGAAGAGAGCTGCCCCACAGGGTTTCGTAGGCTGTAATCTTTACAGGAGTAGATCACCAGGTCTTTCTCCCACAGAGCGGCTGGGTGGGTTCAAATCTCCGACGTTTTAGTTAGCAGCTGAGCACTTAACCACTGCGCCGCCAGGGCTCCTTCCCAAGACTGTATCATCCCCATTTTACAGATGAGGGAGCTTGAGGATCTGAGAAGTGACTTGGCCTTTGGGAAGGGCCTCCTGTGAAGGACCCTGGGCTCCTCATGCCTTTCCTCTGGGTCTCCCCACAGCCCTTGGGGTGCTACCGCTCTCCCTCCACCAGCCCAAAGCCCTGGTACAGAGTGGGCACCTGGGTGTTCGACTCCACGGCAATGGGGCCCTCCTGGGCCCCTTCTGCTTCTCCCGAGTTCCCCAAGGGGCTGCTTGCAACACCCTGTTAGCACACAGCTTCCTGGAAGAGCCCCTCCTGCTTCTGAAGCCATGGAAGCTGTGGCTTGGGTCTGGGGGCCCACTCTTGGGGATGTGGTCACAGCCAAGACTACATGCCCACAGACACGTCCCTGGCTCTCTCCCCTCCAGACGCCGCGTGGGCCTCAGTGTTTGCAGATTGCCCTTTTCCAGTCTGTCCTCCCACTGCAAGGGGGTACCAGGACGGGTGTCTCCCTTTCCCACTCTGCCTCACCCAGAGCAGTGACAGCTGGGTCTCCTCTGGAGGGCAAGCAGGGCCCAGCTCTCTCTTGGACTGAGCAGGCCATATGGGGAAGGCAGAATGTGAGGGTGGCCTGCTCGGGGTCACAGGGCCAGAAGCGGCCAGGCCACAGCTCAGCCCGTCTGCCCTGCCCCGCAGTCCCCAGGGGCGTGCATTGCTGTGGAGGGTGTGTAGGGGCTGGCGTGCCAGAGCTGGTCAGTCAGCTCCTGCAAGAGGCGGGAGCCTCCAAAGCGGCAATGTTCCAGCCAAGGCCAGGGACAGCACGTGGTCAGCAATCAGACCAAGGCTGGAGGGGCTCAGTGGCAGGCAGGCATACAGATACTGCACCTCTGTTGGGTCTGTCTGCCTGTGGGAGGCGTGCACGGGAGGGGCGTGACAGCCCAGCACTAAATAGAACCTTCCAGAACAAGACCATCTGGGTTCACAGTCAGAAACTGCGTGGTTGTAGATCTAGGCCATTGAGTCAGACTTCTGCCCTCCAGGTCTTGTCTCAGGACTGGCCCTGGGGCCCAGAAGGACCTAGTGTCAGTCCTGGCTCTCCCTCACCCATCAGAAATGAGGCCCCTGCTGCCTACAGGGAGCACACCTCCCCAGGAGAGAGTGCAACTTGGGAATTGGGTCCCGGCAACCAAGATGCTGCTTTGAGACATAAGGCCTAGAAAGGAGAAGAATCTGATCTTGGCCTCTCTGACTGGGAGGCCAGGCCCCTCAGAGACACCCCCTCATGGGCTGCTGGCCTGAAATGTCAAGAGCAGTGCTCAAGTCATCCTCAGGTACAGTGGAAAGCTAGGCCTGCAGTTCTGGGTCCTTGCCTCGCAGTGCTCAGGAGGCTCTGGCTGGTGGCCAGCCTCTTGACCAGCAGGACTCCTGTCTGGAAGGCTGCTCATATGCTCACCTGGGCGCCCTCACAGTCCAGTCTCGTCATCTGCCATGCCAGCCCGAGTCCCACCCGTCAGCCCCTCTCAAGAGGCTTTTCTTTGGACCCAGATCTCATTACAATTCCCAGACTGCAACCTGCTCTAGGAAGCAGAAAAACGGCCTCAGAAGCATACAAATATATCCTGCCCCTACTACTTGGCTGCTGTGTGCCCTTGGATAGGTTGCTTTGCCTCTCTGGGCCTTGAGTGCCTTCTCACTGAGGTGGGGATGACAGTATCACCTGCCGTCATAAGGCTGCTGTGAGGACTGAAGTGAGCTCTCGCGGGAAAGCCCTGGAATGTGGCAGGAGTTAGGAAAATGAAAGGCAGCCCACCAGAACTGATGATTCCCGAGAAAGGCTTCAGAGACGACTGGAGGGTGGGCTGAGGGGCAGGCAGCTACAGGCTCTGGGTCCTGGGGTACCCTGCCCTGACTCAGCATCTGCTTGTCCCCAGATGAAGTGCCGGCCCCACAGCAGGTCCCCAGGAAGCCTCCACAGGACCCAGAGCCCAGGTAGCATGGTCCCAGGGGCTGCACAGGGTGGGGCTGTGGTCCGGGGGGACAGTAGACCTGAGAGGAGCACATCTTGCTCATGAGCACCCAAACTCCTTGGGGGGTATCAGGAAGGAGAAGGCCCCCCAGACACAGCAGTTGCCACCCATGGACCAGAAGACCCTAAAGCAAATGAGGAAAGCGGAGAAAGCGGAGAGGGAGTTCCGGAAGAAGTTCAAGGTTTGGACCCCAAGCCCAACAAGAGTCTTTGGGCTGGGTTCGGCCCCAGCCAACCAGAGCCCCAGGAACCCCATTCTCAGGAGGACAGGTCCCCAGGGTGGCAGCCTAAGCAGAAGCCCTAACACCTGACCCCCCAGTTTGAGGGGGAGATTGTGATTCAGACGAAGATGATGATCGACCCCAACGCCAAGACCCGCCGTGGGGGCGGCAAGCACCTGGGGATCCGGCGTGGGGAGATCCTGGAGGTGATCGAGTTCACCAGCAAGGAGGAGATGCTGTGCCGAGACACCAAGGGCAAATGTGAGTGAGTCGAACACGCTGGGGCTGGGTGCCGCAGGCTGCGGGCACTCACCTCTGCCTGCTCTTTCCACAGACGGCTACGTCCCCAGGACAGCTCTGCTCCCCCTGTGAGTGCTGGTCCTGTGGGGTGGCAGGGTGGGGGTGCCATAGACCGGGACAGCATTGCTAACCCAACTGTGCTCTCTGCCAGGGAAACGGAGGTGTATGACGACGTTGCCTTCTAGGGTACGTAGATGCTCAGGACGGGTCGGACAGACCACAGTGCTGTGGGAGGGGTCCAGCCCCCACCCTGCTGCCCGTGTATGTCGGGGCTGGGGAGGCAGTCACTGGAAGGCATCCTTCCTCCTTAGACCCTCTGGAGAGGCAGCCACCACCCTGGGAACAGTAAGGCCTGCACGTGTGGGTGCCCAAGACCAACCCAGCCACCGTGACAGCAGGACCCCAGTTTAGCAGCAGGCGCTGCCCAGGCTCGTCTGGCCACTCGGTCACAGACCACATAAAGCTCCTCTGAAAAGTGAGCCCTGCTTTGTGTCTTTCCTTTACCTGCCTCATTGCCACACGGGGTGAAGCACAGGTACAGAAAGCCAACTGGCCAGACTGCCTAGAGTCCTGCAGGGTCATGGACACAGCTACTCCCCGGACCTTGTTCCTCGGGGATCAGGGTGAAGGGAGCTCCTTGTGACCAGATGCCTCTACCAAACCAACAGCCAACAGCTGGGGAACAATGGGAGCAGAGCTTGTCAGAAGCCAGGCAGTGTACGGGTGGACACGGGTAGGAGATGGCCCATCCACCCAGGAGCAGCAGGCTGTACACACCTGTGCAGAGTAGGCCTGGGTGATCACGTGCCGGTATGTTTAACTCCCAAGTCCATCAGTGCCTGTGCACAGAGCTCAGCCCGGGCCCCTGAAGAGGCAGAACACGCTCCAAGCCCTCACCCCACTTGGTGTGTCTTAACGAAGAAAAGCCAGGCTGGAAGCGAGCATGGTGCAGCCTTTGTGCCCCCAGACCGCAAGTACCGCATTATCACAATCGGGACTTAGAGACCACTGAGGTGTGGTGTCCAGAGCAGTCTTTTCCAAATGGGGTCGTAGAGAGGTGTGGGGACAAGGTCACGGCAGAGCTCCAAGGGGAGAAAGACCAGGGCTTGAGCTCCCCAAACCTCAGGTGGTGGCCCCACAACACACCAGCCAAGCAGCTTTCAGGAACTGGTATTTATTATCAAAGTCATATTCGATGTCAACAAGATGCCACAACTACAAAAAAAATTGCGCACATTGCAATCTCAATGCAAACAGTCAAATGGAATCCCAGTCATTAAAAAAGTAATTCAAATTACCCCAAAAAGCAACTGAATTTTTTAAACATCTTTATACATCCAGCCAACAAATTAAAATGGTTAACAAGAAAAAATACAAATTCAGAGGTCTGGTCTCGATGTTTAAAAAAGGCAACTGCTTAAGCATTTCTATCGATTCGAACATCAATCTCTCGGCCACTCAGCTTCATCCCATTCATCATCCGGCAGGCCCGCTCAGCCACCTCAGGCGACTCAAACTTGACCACACCGCACCCCTTGGACTTCCCATTCTCCATCTTGATGTCGGCATACAGCACGTGGCCTGGGCATGGGGAGAGAAGAAGAGACCACAACTCATGAGGCAAACCAGAGCACAGCACCAAGTGGGATCCACTCAGTCCAGGTCACCTGCTGGACTCTGGGTGACCTCTCTTGCCTGGTGCGTGACTGCTCAGCCCAGCTGCTCTGGGCTCCTCAGCTGCATTGCCATTCCTCTGCCCACAGGAGAACAATCTGATGGTCCCCTATGACACTCCTTTCTGGTGGCTTCAAGATCACTTACACACCACCTCTCAATCTACAAAGCAACGCCAATTAACACCTGACCCTTCTGAACTGTCCAAATCTAAGGCACGCAGTCATGAGCCAGCAGGTTCCCCATGTCCGTTCAAGCACCTATGGAGCACCCAGGTGTCAGGCACTGTGGGTGCATGGGCTGCAAGGAAAAGCTGCAGACTCAGAGGCCTCCACTCAGAGAGCAAGCACCGCCGAGACGGAGCCAGGCGCCTCCGATTCTAGAACCATGAATTCTGCCTGGGGGACAGGGAAAGTTATAAAATAACCAAAGAAGTGCCTAGAAGACTCTTGGTCTGATGATGGCGTGCACATCTGCACGGCGTATGTGGGGAGCAGCACCTGTAGCTCAAGGTGCCGCGACAGGAGGAGCTGAAATACAAGGAAAGGCTCTGGAGCCTAGACTTGCTCTTGAAGGCAGAACGCACCTCCAGGCTTCTCAGAGACAGGGAGAGTGGTGAGGTTCAATGTGACTTTCGGGAATATTCCGCCACAATGTGGGCAAGGAGAAGTGGGGGAGGGAAGGCAGGTGATGACTCAACAGCTTACCCAAAGAGAAGAACTAGGGAGAAGCAGCACTAGTTGCAAAATCTGAGCCACTACTGAAATGGGAAATGAAACAACACTGAGGAAGCCTAGATCTAGCCAGCTCCCCATAACCCTGACTAGGGTGAGGTGGGTATGGGGGTTCACCCTGGTGTCCCTAACAACACAGGCAGGCAGCAGCCCAGGAACCCAAACCAGAGTCGTTTGGCTGTATCTGCACATAGGCTGCCACAGGCCCAGAGCCAGCGGACCTCACTCCTGGGACCTGCCGTGCATGTAAGCACTCATGGGGGCACTGAACCAACCGGCCTAGTCTTGGGAGTGTTTGGCTTTGCCACTGAGAAGCCATGCGACCATGGGAACATGACTCTGCCTGACTCCTCTGTACAATGGGGCTACGCCACCTCCTTCCAAAAACTGTAGAAGCAAGAGAGCCAAGGAAGGTAAAGGTCAGGAGGGCAGAGGTGAAAGTGACACGGAACAGGAAGCTCATCGTCTGCTTAAATAGCTAGAGGCAGAAAAATGGCAGGGCTCGTCCACCCTTATGACAATGGGCAGGGTTCATCACTTAACTCGGCACAACGGCATCACCAACAAGCCCAGGCTGACGAAGGCACACACACAAAGCATCTAGAGAGACCTCCTCAACACTTACCACATTCGTTGAATTTGTCTTTTAGCATTTTCCATGTAAAATCAAATGGGAGCTGAGGGAAAAAAGGAGAGACTGATGTGAGATTCCACCAAATCTAAGGATAAACATTACCACTGCCTCTGGGGATGACTTTCAGGATTTCTCTTACACAGAGGATCTGCATGGCGGACCTTCAAGCTGTGACAATCCAGAGAGAACAAAGCAAGTCTATCTGGAGTGGGGTTCTCAGCTAGCTGGCCAAGCCCACAGCCTGTGGCTTTATCTTCTGTGGGAACACGATGCCCACAGCGAGTAGACAATGCAGTCTGCCCCAGAACCACTGCAGTGGCTAAAGGTGGCCCATTTGGTCCACATGATTCAGTTATAGCCATTATTTTTCTCTGAATTGTCATGTCAAAATGCAGTGGCTCTTCAAGGGATCAAGAAATTAGGGGTCTCGGTTCAGTCTAGCACGTCAGGGAGGCCACACACTAACAGAACAGGCTGCTCTTGGTGCTTAAGTGTCCTACACAGGCAGTCCCTCCTCCTCCCTCCAGCACAGACTTTGCCACTCAGCTCCCCTTCTGGGGGACCTGCCCCCCTCCTCCCCACCCGCCTCCTCCCCTTGTACTTGACACCACTGAGATGTTCCAGAAGAGAAGAGCCACTTACGTTTCTCACAAATATCTGGCAAGCCTTCCTGGCCACTCCAGGGGCATGGCCTCCAGCTCCACCAAAGGAACCTGCAAAGCTTCCTCCAAAGTTGCCACGCTCCATCTCAATGGCACGGTCAAAGCTGGCGCCGCCACCGCCACCCATGGCCAGGCCCATGCGCTCGATCCCGGCGCCCAGGGCCGGGCCCATGGCAGGACCCATGCGCTCCAGGCTGTTGGCGCCCATGCGCTCCAGGCCCATGCGCTCGAGACTGTTGGCGCCCATGCGCTCCAGGCCCATGCGCTCGAGGTTGTTGGCGCCCATGCGCTCCAGGCCAGTGGCCATGCGATCTATCACGGGGCCCATGCGCTCCAGGCCAGCCCCTATACCTGCGGGCACCATGCGCTCCATGCTCAGGCCCATGCGGTCGATGGCAGGGCCCATGCGCTCCACACCAGAGCCCATGCGCTCAATGGTCTGGCCAACACGGTCGATGGGCGCGGCCATACGCTCAAGGCCGAAGCCCATGCCAGCACCCATGCGCTCCACACCAGAGCCAATGCGTTCCATGGTCTGGCCCATGCGCTCGATGCTGGAGGCCATGTGGTCGAGGCCCAGCGGGCCCATGCGCTCAATGCTGGAGCCCATGCGCTCCACAGAGCCCATGCGGTCCATGACCAGGCCCATGCGCTCGATCTCGGAGCCCACGCGATCCATTCCATGGCCCAGGCCTGCGCCCATGCGCTCCATGCCAGCGCCCCCAATGCGGTCAATGCCGGGGCCCATCCTCTCGATCCCGGGAACACTGCCTCCGCCTCCACCTGGAACAGGGCCGCAAAACACAGGCAGGTGTCAGGGGTACACCACGCTAGGATGGGACCAGGCCGCAGAGGTCCATGCACTTGTCCACAAACTAAACATTGGCAGGAATTAAGTCCCACAGTCATTCCCCACTCAGAGAGCCCTCAAAGGCTGGTGGCAACTGCTAAGCTGGGCAGTGAGTACGTGGGGGTCCTGACATCATTCTTCCTACTTCTATGCCACAGTTGCAATTTCCATGACAAAATTCAATCAGGAAAAAAACCCTTGGAGCACTTGTGCTGACAAATGTTCTCCAAGCTGCCTGTCCAGTGCTGGCACCTGTGACAAGCTTTGTGAATCACAGAAGTCAATTACTGAGACCTCTGCAGCTTCCCATCACCAGCCATCAAGAAATACTCTCAAGGGGTGAGGCCTACAAACCCCACCCTCAGATGGTCACCAGTGTGAAGGAGAGGACAATTCAAAGTTATTTCCAAACTTCATCCTGCTCCCAACTTGTCCCTCTAGGATGCCCTGCTGGTGGCCAGTCGGGCTGCATGTTCTCAGCACTTCCAGGGCACAGAGAAGCTATTACACAGCCACGTAAGAAAGAAGAGATGACAACAGATACAAAGACCAATGTAGGTACTGTGCACAGATGAACAGAGCCAACAACTTCTAGGGACGCTTCCTGTCAGGGAAAGCAGCCATCTGATACAGATACTGCTGGCTCTGGAAGGAAGGTATCGAGGGCCCTGCAGAGGGTTGTGGGAGAGGCCTGGACTCAGTCCCTCGCTACCATGGCTCAGGCGGGACACATGCTGGCAGGCAGGTCAGCAGTACAGTGACCCCTGATGCCTGCTAGTCGGGCCAGAGCAAGGAGGCCCGGCCTTGCCGCTTTTCTTGCTCCAGCTACAGCACCGCTGCTGCTGGAACTGGGGTGTCGAGCCCACAGCTGGCCTAGGCCAAGATGCCGATTCGAGAAGAGGAGACGTAGCAGCAGCGTCTCTGCCTGACACAATGACTAACGCGGAGGCCCGGCAAGGCCACTCCGCTTCTCTGTGCCCGTGTCCTGAGCTGAGTAACAGCACACCGAATGGCAAAAAAGAAACCTGACTTTAAACATCTTAGGCTTTCGGAGCAGAAATTTCTCAGCGACCATCTGACTTCTTCAAATAATAAAAGATAAAAAGAGACCAAAAGAGGGTAGGGAGTTTGCCCCATAGCATCAGAAATGAGACTGAAAGCCAGATGCCAACAGCAGCAGTGGACTAGGAAGAAACGGTGACCCCATGGAGTTCTAAAACCAGCCCAGCTCAGCTGTAACCTCAGAGCCACAAGGGAAAACTGGGCTGAAAAGTACATTTAGTTCTAAGCAGCCTATTAAACTGTGCACTAACAGAAAGATACACCAAAATGCTTACAGCAATCATCACTGTGCAACGAGATTTCAGGTATTTATTTTCTTCATAATTTTCTCCATTTTATAGTAAGTACATGTGCATATTTTAATAATAAACACTTTTTGTGTACTTCTACAACCAGGTAAA